GGCGACAAGGTGCCCATCCTCCCGCGCAGCTTACCCTGTACGACCACCGACTGGGTCATGCTGCTGCGGGTCCGGACTGGAGCACCCGGGAGCCGGCGGCCGCGTTCGTACTCCCCGCCCGGCTCCCGAGCTGAGCTCCCTGAAGGCCCGGGCAGCCGTAAGTCAAGCTGCTGCCGCAAGTCGCTGCTGTCGCTACGCTCTCCTCTAGGTTCAAGCTAAGTTTTTCCGTCCGAAGGCCTCGCAAGTGCGCTTGCGTCCCACTGTTACCATAGCGACTGGGCCTCGGGACCTTGGATCCTAACTGCTTGCCAACATCTTTGAGCTTCGGCAGCTCCAGAGGCCGGGGTAACTGGCGGGTAACTAGGCTTTGGGGTGGGATTTAAAAATGTATGTCTTTAAAACTGCTTATGGGTTATCAGAGGTCTAGTTTTTGTTCAGTCTCAACACCCTGGGACGCTGCTTTAATGCGTCTAGCCAACAAGCTCTTTGTTCTAACAGAAAACGGTGTAGATGAGCACAAAGAAACCCCAAATAGGCGTGTCAGGGTACACCCGAAACTAGGCTGTTAATACACTTTGACAAAACGCTTCAGAGACCCAGTCACTGTTCGTTGAAGCTGTATGCTTCCAGCATTAACTTCTATTTTTTAAAAAAAAAATTTTTTTTAAATTAACGTTTATTCATTTTTTTGAGACAGAGAGAGACAGAGCATGAATGGGGGAAGGTCAGGGAGAGAGGGAGACACAGAATCTGAAACAGGCTCCAGGCTCTGAGCTGTCAGCACAGAGCCCGACGCGGGGCTCGAACTCACTGACCGCGAGATCATGACCTGAGCCGAAGTCGGACGCCCAAACGACTGAGCCACCCAGGCGCACCCCAACATTAACTTCTAGCCCCTCTAGGATATTCAGAAGAAATCAAGGCATAGATCCAGCTCCAAGAAGCGTATAATCTTAAGGCACACGTGAAATACTAACAAAAAAATACCGTGTGTTGCTGACTGTAAGGATTTAGTGAATGAGGATGTAGATCAGTCAATAGAAGTCTGGCGGAAGAGATGAAATTAAAACTAGGCATTTGATTTATGTAAACTAGATGGAAGGAAGAAGACTAAAAAAAAAAAAAAATCAGGCATTCCTGAAAATTACCAAGTACTGAAAATTGTCAAACACTGAACAATACTCTGAACTCTGATCAATTTAGACCAGATTTCAATGAAGAACCCCAGCACTTCTTTACTGAAATTCATATTGTCTACAAATGCTTTAATCAAGAATGTTTTGCAATTGCTGAATTTTACTCTTAACTGCTTATTGGTGAGCATGGAGTCAGGGGTGGAGGTGCAGTCTAGAACATCCAACACGTCACTTCACGTCTTGGTGCTGAATTCCCAAAGTCTGGGGCTTTCAGAATTTGCAAAGTTTGGTCCAGTTTGTTGGCAGTGATGGAAGCAGGTCTATGCCAGTGAGTTATGGTGCTAGCTCATCTGGTATTCTGGCCTCTCAGAGCCCTATCTCTCATACTGTGGTTAGGTCTAAGTCATTATTCCCCAGAGGTCATACATGGGAACAAGTTAAATTAAGAAAGTCCTAACAACAACAACAACAACAACAACAACAGTCCAAATAAGTCTCGTTTATAACTTCAGTCTGGAAAGCATCCGACTAACAGGCGATTCTGCTTAAGAATCAAGGTAGAACCTTATATACCAACTATATGTACAAGCAGAAGAACTTTCTAGGATTTATAGTTTCCAGGAGTCCACACCGAAGTCATATATTTGAGCGTATCCTGGAGTTGAATACATTCCTAATTAGTTGGATTGAGACCTCATTTAAGCTATTCAAGTTCAATAGATAGAGCGAGCAGAACTCAGGCCGTCCTGGGGGTTGGATGTAAAGAGCTGTACACAGCTCTAGCGGAGCTCTAGTATACCTCCTCTGATACAAACACAGTGAAAAAAGAATATATGAGTTACCTTTCAAATTCTAGCTGTAAGTGGAAAAACTAGTTTTAGAAAAGAAGAATTAGAAGCACGAGGGAGCAGACTAGAGAGCTGAAAATCAAATAACTGATGTAGATGAGAAGTCTGAGAGAATCACGAGAATGCTGAGGCAAGGACAAAGGTATTAGAGCTCTTAGAAGGTAATATCTATGAAAGAGACAAAGATAGCTCAACATAAGATTAATAAGTGCCCCTGAATAGAGAACACAGCAACTGGAAGAAGAAATGTCCTTACTGATATAAAACATAATAAAGGAAAGAAAATCTGTAGATTAAAAGAAACCAGGATTAAGGATTATAAGAAAAATAGAGTACACTGATAATGATGAATACTGAGTAATGTATAGAAATATCTATAATATAATAGGATATGTTAATTATACTTCGGTAAAAAGAGGATATACCACGATCCATGGAAAAATTTCTCTCAGACAGTCAACACGAGGATAGAGCCTAGTTAAGCCACTCAGTTTTCAGGATGAAAGAATTCTTTGGGTACCCAGTCAAGAGAAAGAAGTAGGTAGTGGTGGAGAAAAAACAGGATTTGTTGGATTCCTGTAGAGTACATTTAGTACTGGACGACTTTGAACATCTGTTACAGAGTTCTGAGGGGGCATACAACGTGTTCCAAGAAAATTATACTCTTAATTTTCCCAGTTGCGACTTAAATAAAGTTAGAATTTGTGAGGCTCTATTCATTTTTAGTCCTGTTGGCACACTGCATTTCTGAGCCCATCTCTCTTTCATATAACTTGTCAAGCATAAGCATAGTAACCAACGTGTTACCAACATTGTGTTCTCACTCTTCCCCTAGAATTCAAATTCATCAGTAAATCATCTGTCTTCTAGGTTATCACAGGAATTTTGCAAAGACTTTTTTTCCCCAATACATTTGTCACCAATAACATAAATAACTGTCCTTTCAGCTTCCAGTAACAGTTTCCTTGTCACCTGCTGCCTGACCACTATCCTACTGACATATTTTAGATTTTTGTTATGGCAGTTCTTAGGTCTGGACCTAAGTCTGTAGAAGTCATGATACATTTTGCTAAGTTATGGTAACCACTAATCCCTAAATCTCAGCCGTGTAAAACAATAAAGGTTTGTTTTTTTGGCACATGATCCATGTCTTTTGGGAGGTATCTGTGACTATGCTTTACGTTTTCCTCACCCTGGCGCCCAGGTTGCTGAGCTACCATGATTTCGTACATTCTTGGCTTTAGTGGCAGAGAGAAAGAGGATCTTATACTGCAGTTAATGGCTGTTGTTAACCCACCAAAACTAGTCACATGGGCTCTGAGTAATCACGAGGGGGCCAGGAATTGCAATTTCCAGAAGACAGAAAGCTAGAAATATTTGATAAACAACATTCATAAGTACATTACAAGCGTTCTCAGACCTGACAGAATACAGCTTCTGTGGTAGGCGACCTCTAAGATGGTACCTAATGATCTCTGCCCTCTGTTTTTGTGTAATCCCCTCTGCTTGAGTCTGGACTGGACCTAGTGACTTCTTTCTAATGAATAGAGCCCACACACAGCCCGGCAGCCATCCTGAGTTGGGGAGACAGAATTGAAAATTCTGGGGCACAAAGGCAGCTAGAATTTCTAGAGCAAAGTGCAAGAGAGCAGTGAGAGTATAGAGAAAGCTCTGGAGACCTTCAGGGAATTTCTCTGAGCCTTACACTGAGTGCTGATCAGTATGTGCATGTGGGGAAACTACCCATACTGAGGAATGAACCACTGAAAGAAGCAGGCAGAACATTTTTGGGAGTACACACAAGGGCGGAACTAGTTTACATTCCCAACATCTTGAGTGGAAGAACCCTGTAATATCTGGCGGTATTGAGTTGAGTACAGTAAAGGAACTGCCTCAGCAGTAGAGACAAATTAGCCGTAGATGAAAGGCTGTCCTGATTTAGCCTAGGAAAACACAAAATCAAGCCTTCAAAGGACCAAGCTATTTCCAAATAATTGTCCCAGATCAAAACCTGAAAGTGCTTAGAAGACTAAAAATAAAATCCAGCATCCAACAACATAAAATTCACAATGTCTGCATCAAATGAAAAATTGCAAGATCTGCGAAGATGTAGAAAACCACACTCCAGATGATGTAAAAGAATCAGTAAAAACAAACCAAGAAATGGCACAAATGAAGGAATTAGTAGACCAGGACTTTAAAATAACATAAATGTCCTCCATATGTTCAAAAAGGCAGAGGGAAGCATGAAAAGATTAAGAAGGCACAAATATAAAAGACCCAAGTCAGACTTCTAGAGTTAAAAAATGCAGTGTCTAAAATGAAAAAATACACTGGGTGGAATTAAGAGCAGATTAGACATTGCAAATGAAAAGAGTAGTGAACTTAAAGATTTAAGTGAACTTAAAGATGTAACGGTAGAAACTATCCAAAATGAAACAGAATCAAAAGATAATAAAAAAGGATCGGTGAACTGTGGGACAATTTCAAACAGCTTTATATGAGCTGTGTAACTGGAGTTCCAGAAGGAGGAAACAAAAACATACTTGAAGAGATAATGTCTGAAAAGTTTTTCACATGTGATAAAAATTATGCACCCACAAACCCAAGAAGCTCAATGAAACTTTGGATACAGGAATAAAGCCACACCAAGCACATTATAATCAAATTAATATCAGTGGCTAAGAAAAATATTAAAAGCACTCAGAGGAAAAAAGACACACTACATAAAGAGGAACAAAGTTAAGAATAAAAGCACACTCTTGGAAACAATGCAAGTCAGAAAACTTGAGCAAAAATCTTTAGCTACTTAAAAAAATAAAAAGCGTCACAAAACAAAACTGTTGACTTAGGATTTTATACTCAGCTGTTCAAAATGGAGAATGAAATACTGTTCAAAAATGGAGATGAGGGGCACCTGGGTGGCTCAGTCCGTTAAGCGTCTGATTTCCACTCAGGTCATGATCTCGTGGTTTGCAGATTTGAACCCCATGTCAGGCTCTGTGCTGGCGGCTGGAGCCTGGAGCCTGCTTCAGATTCTGTGTCTCCCTCTCTCTCTGCCCCTCCTATGCTCAT